TACCCAAACTAGGTAACACCCTCAGTGCTAGTCAGCACTATAGGTAATCCTTGAGTTACGACAGTTCACTTAGCAACCATTCAAAATTACAATAGCAATCTCCCACCAAGTACTTATGACACAGTCCCGAGGTTATGAATGTTGCAGCACCATGGCAGTTGTTCACCCTTACAAATGACCATAGAGGCACTGCAACATTCACCCTGCCTATTCCATCACCACCCCTGCCCAGTGCCTGTGGAGACTTACTAACCTTGCAAAGATCTAGTGAGCTGTGTCCTCTCCAGCCTCTCTGTTTCTGTTGTGGCCTGCCAGCTGCCAACACAGCTGGCGGCAGACTCGGACAGTGAGGAAGTTGGGGAGGAACATGGGCCAGTTCTGGAGTCTGGGGAAGGCTCTGATCAGGCCATCCAACAGTTAGCAGGTGCCTTTGGAGTCGTAGATCAGTGGGGCAGAAGAACAGCTGGAGCCTGTTCCCGATCTGCACATGCACAGACCTGCCAGGAGAAGGGAACAGTTAAGCAACAAGGGTCGACTCGGGAGTTAAAGGCACAGGTGGAAGGTGAATGGCCCCTCCCATAGGGAATAAAGAGGAGCGAAAGGAGAGTGGTGTTTGCAGGAGACAATTAGTTTGTTTAATTAGTGTGAAGATTTGTTCATGACTCTCAGGGACTTCTTGCCAAGTATTTTCTTGTACAGCATTGCACTTGGAAGCTATCAGCCTGGCAGTTCTCCAAGCCTGATAAGGTCTGTGGTTGTAATTCACCCTTTGAAAGACTCTTTGCCGGGACTTTGCTAGATGTGAATGATAGGAATTCCCATTAGTCTAATAAAAAGGGTTTTTTGTCGGGACAAGGCGTCTGCTTTGTGATTTTGTGAAGCCTTGTTCAGAACAGTTTCTTTGCCTGTGTCCCTACAGGCTCTGGTCATCTTTGCAAAAAGCTTTTGGCATGAAGAATGGAGGCTGGGGCATGCCTGCCACTTCTGGTGTCCGTTCTTCATGCCAAAAGCCTTGAGGAAAGCCAGCCTAACCCTGCAGGGGCGAGTGACCAAGGGACACCCCCCACCGCACCTTAGGTGAGAAAGGTAGTAAGAGTGGCCTAAGAAACTCTCCACCTGCACATGGAATGGGAAAACTCGCTGCAGCTAACTCATCCCAACCAATTTGCCACAGCCAATTCACCACAGCTAACTCACCACGGGACAACTCGCTGCGGGACAAGTCAACAATTCAATGTAATCATTCAAAATAATTAAAAAGTTATTTTTTTAAAATTTTTGTCGTTCATATTTCATTTCGTGTAACTCTTGTCCCGCGGTGAGTTGTCCTGCAGTGAGTTGGCTGTGTTGAGCTGACTGTGGTGAATTGGCCATGGCGAGTTGGCCGTGATGACAGGTATTATTACAAGGAGTTAGGGTCTTCCCTTGTTGCTTGGATGTTCAGAATACTCTGACACGATGCCTTTGGAAATGGTTTCATCTAGGTCTCCTTCTTTCTGGGAAGTGGCATTACCCCCCCCCCCCCGTCTGCCTTCTTCCTTAAGAGGTCTATCAAGTCAGGCCACAAATTCCACTCCTGACCGATTTGAGGTACCCTGTTTGAAGCAGCAGAAACAAAACCCATATGCTCCTCTGGCTGAGCCATCTGCCTCAGCTAACTTGGGTAACTGTGTTACTGTAGGTTTCTTTTCTACTTCAAGACTGAAAAGAAGAAAGTCGGGGGGGGGGGGACACTGCCCAATTTAACTGCTGGCAAGCTGCTCCTTTTGCCTCCTGCCCCCAGTTCCTTGCCTGTTTGCCAAGCCAATCAATCCCAGCCAAAGGTGGGAGCTTTGTTTGCAGTCAGTGCGAGCCAGCTTCTTCAAAAAGGGTTTTGTTGTTGCTTTTTACCAAGCTGCCTTTTCCACAAACAAAATGTTTCCATGGAAAAATGCCCTCCTGGGCTGAACTTTTCTCATGAATCTCCACCTCTTTTCTTCCGCCTTTCAACTCAAGTGACAAGCTTGATATCATTATTATTGGCAACCAAAAAGCCGGCAAGCCGAGTTGAGAAGATCAAAGACCAGCCTGCAGACAGATGAGGCCTTAGCCAAGATGAAGTTGCATTGGATTTACTGTAAATTGCTCCAAGCTTCTGTGGGGATTTCAGTTTATAAAGGCAAATACCTTTCGTCTGATGCCCGTCTTAGCTTTCTCCTTTTGTGATCACAAAACCATTGATTGTAAAACAGCATATTTTTTATCTCTCCATTAATCACTCTTCTGTGTTGCAGAAATAAAACTACAGTACTTACAAGGGTAATATTGTATTATCCGTTTTTGGCACCCAGTGAATCTTAAAGCAATCTTTGTAAGGTAGAAACTTGTTCTGTTTGAAGGATTTTTAACTACAAAAGTGCAACACGTTAAACATGATTTTCATATGAAGTCACCATTTTCGCTTACCTATTCTTTTCTCAGGGTCACTAGCACTTAAAATCACTGAAATTAGAGTAATAATATGTTAACATTTGTAATTTCAGTGGGTATAAGGCTGAGTTTCTCAAGCTTTTCAAATATTCCTTAGAGCAGTCCATTTCCAAGAAAAAACATCCTTGAATATCTTACAAGGACAAAATTTCTCTTCCATTTCCAAAAGGTGACAAATAACTGCTGGATGAATTAAGCTCTCAAGAAAGAATCTGTTGCTTCTCCATGTATTTCAAAAGAAGTTCCATTCGTCTTTAAAAATGATTTTTTCCCTCAAAGTTTGCTTATGATGTGGCCATGAATGTAATCATGCCTCAGGGCTGAGATCCTTTTAAACCTCTTCCAAATGGCTGCAAAGCTAGTCTTGTAGTCAGAAGCGTTGAAGTCATGAGACAAACCAGCCTTGAGAATTGGACAATATCCTCTCCCTTTTCAGGTGTCAATCCAGAGAAGAGGCTGGGCTTAAGGAAAGATGCACTCTGTGGTTATTCATTGCTGAAAATGTGGTACAGATAGCCCTTGATTCAGTGGTGGGATTCAATTTCTTTTACTACCGGTTCTGTGGATGTGGTTTGGTGGCAGGGGAAGGATACTGTAAAATCTCCAGTCAGAGGTGGTATTTGCCAGTTCTCTGAATTACTCAAAATTTCCGCTACTGGTTCTCCAGAACTAATCAGAATCTGCTGAATACCACATCTGCCTTGATTTACAACCATAATGGAGCCTCCCTTTATGGTCATAAGTCATAACAGTTGTAAAGCAGGCCACCACATGATTGTTCTGCTTTTACTTATTTTGTGAGGGTTATTAAGCAAACATGGCAATTGTTAAGCAAACTCTCTGTTTTCTATTTTCTTTTTTTTTTGCCAAAAACCTGGAAATAAATGTTGGGGTTTGGCAAAAGTGCCATAAATTGTGACCACATAACCGTGGGATGCTGCTACAAATGGCTGTAAATGCAGGCTGGTTGCTGAGTGGTGAACAAGATACAGTTACGTGACTTTGGCAGGGTGGGTGGGTTGGCAGTTGAAATTTTAGAACCGAGTTATAAGTTCCTTGGGGGGGAGGGGCTCATCATACCCATCCTTTATGGGTGTGTTTGCTTATTTTTGCTATTAAAATGTTGCATTTTTAATCAATCTGGATATTTAGAAATTCAAGCAACAACCACCTCCCATCCCATAAAACACTTCTTTTATTACTCTATTAATTCAGGCTGCGATAGTGGCTCCCAGAAAGATATGCATTCATTTCATCAGTTACTGTACCACTTTCACTCGTTTTCCAACCTTCCCGATGCTACATTCTGAGGGGTCCTTGGTGCTTGTTTCATTACCCAAACTAGGCAACATCATCAATGACTAGTGACTACCACTGATGATGCTACCTAGTTTGAGTAATGACAGATCTGCAAGAAAACAACCAAGTTCAGAAAGCACCAAGGGCCCCTCATTTCAGCCCCGAGCTACAAATATTCTTCTTTATTGCTATTGAATCTGCATTCAAACCATATATTTAAATACAATGAGGCTGTTTGACTTGATTGAATATGTTATGAGAATGCAGCCATTGGGATTTGTGAAACGTATTTTATGACCTAACATGCTCACAGTCTCAACTAACTGAGGTTTGTTTAACTATGAATGAATAATTCATGGGTTAAGTACTGAACCCTGGTTTCTGAGCCATAGTTTGTTTAGCAAGCCAGAGTAAACCATCCAGGAAGAAAGGTGATTGGAATTTTGGAGTTTTGGGTAGTATCAGTTTTAGCATTAAATAGATTTGTTAAGGATTGGAAGATATTTGTTTCCTGACAAAGACTGACAGCACAAATATGATCCTAAAGTGGAAGCAGAGAAGGGACATTTATACAGGCAAAAATGTATGTTGTTAAGTGAAAAATTTGTTAAGTGAATTTGTCCCATTTTATGACTTTTCTTGCCACCTTTGTTAAGTGAATTTCTGCAGTTGTTAGATTAGTCACATGGTTGTTAAATGAATCTGAGTTCGCCATTGGCTTTGCTTGTCAGAAGGTCGCAAAATGACTCCTGAACACTGCAACCATCATCAATATCAGTCAGTTGTCAAGCATCTGAATGTGAATCACATCCACTGGGATGCTGCAATGGTCATAAGTGTTAAAAAATGGTCCTAAGTCATTATTTTCAGTGCCGTTGTAACTTTGACTCAGAGCCGCAGTGGCGCAGTGGCTAGAGTGCATCACTGCAGGCTACTTCTGCTGCCTGCAATTTGACAGTTCAAATCTCACCAGGCTCAAGGTTGACTCAGCCTTCCATCCTTCCAAGGTGGGTAAAATGAGGACCCAGATTGTTGGGGGCCATAGGCTGACTCTATAAACCGCTTAGCGAGGGCTATAAAGCACTGTGAAGTGGCATATAAGTCTAAATGCTATTGCTATTGAACAGCCGTTAAACTGTTGTCAGTCAAGGATTGCCTGTTCCTGCAATTCACGTTGATATGTCTGCTGCATTAGTGCATCATTCCCTTTCTTTACCTGTTTCTGTATCCAGCTAGATCCCGAGAACACAGGTTATATCAGCACAGAGAAATTTCGGAACCTCCTCCAAAGACATAGCTCTGAACTGGATCCACATAAACTGGAAGTGCTTTTGGCCTTAGCAGACAACAATTCGGATGGGAAGATTTGTTATCAAGATTTTGTCAACTTGGTAAGTGATTTCTTTTTTTCTAGGAGAAAATGACTGTGTGTGTGTGCGTGTGTGTGTGCGTGTGTGTGTGTGAAAGCATCTGTGTCTGCAAATACCTAAAGGAAAGACACGGGAGCCTAATGAGAAGGGAATACTGCTAGTCCTTGGTTTATGACCACAATAGGGACTGGACAATTTGTTATTAAGTGATATGGTTTTTATGCGAGGCCTTTTTGGCCATTATTGTTAAGTGAATCACTGTGGTTGTTAAGCAAGACATCAGGCAACCACAACCAATGACTCTTCCTGCCAGCTTCTCCATTGACTCTGCTGGTCAGAGGCCACCTGAAAAGGTTCAAATGGTGACCACAGGATGCTGCAACAAATATAAACTCATGATGGTTGCCAAGCATCCAAGTCGTGATCATATGACCGTAGGAATGCGATAGTGGTTGTAAGCATGAGGATTGGTTGTAAGTCATTATTTTCCAGCACTCTTGTAACTTTGAACCCTCGCTACATTCATGGTCATAAGTTGAGAGCTTCCTGTAATCTCTAAAAGGAAAAGGGAAGCACTGATAGGTTAATCGATGTAGCAATCAATCCACAAGTCTTCTCTTCCCTGCAGAGATTGGAAGGGGATGACCAGCCAGTTCCTATGGTTATTGTAGGCTTGACTAAGTGCCAGCCCAATCTAGGTTGGAATTCTTAAAGTTGGTTTTAGAATATTAGCCAGCAGCATAGGTTGCTGTGCAGAATTGCCCTGGACCTTAGAAATCCTTCTCATGCAATATTATACATGTATTCCTGCCCAAGAATTCATGTATACACAATTTGTCTATTTGTGCATTTATTTATTCAGTGTATTTCTTCTGTGTACTGAGGAGAGATCCATTTCCCAGTATGCAGGGTTAGAAAAACAATTTTTATGTTCCTTTCTGACCCATAGGTTTGCATTTCTACTTTCCAGAAGCACAAATGACCTTCACTAGAGTTTGGGGATTTCCAGCCATTTTGAAAACTGAATTATTTGAAGTCCATCTGTGCTCAGCCCGCCCACTTTTTTTTTGTCCCTTTTCCAAAACTGAATTATTCAAAAACACAGTTCAGTTTTGGAAAAAGACCCAGATGAACCACAAACAGATTCATTCTTTTTCCTGTTCTGAGCTGGAGAAAAACCAAGGGAAGGAAAAGGGAGAAAATTTTGAGAGGAAGCAGAGGGGAGAAAATTACACTAAAAAACAAAAACACACACAAAAAAACTGTTGTGGTCCCCTGCTATATAGTGAAATGAAAGATGAGCTCACAGTGTGGGAAAGTTGGAGATTGATAGGGTTAAGACAGCTGAGTTTCTTTAGAAAGTGCAGATCAACAGGGTGGGGTCTTTTAATTGGATGGCAAGGGGAAAAGCAGAGAAGACTTTTAAAAGATGCATTCAACAGGGCCAAAAGGCAGAGCAGAAGCAAACTATCTTGCTGTGCATGCTTGGAGATCAATTATCAAACCCATACCTTTGATGTGATGTGGAATTTGGCCTAACTCCCCCAGTAAATATTTTGGTGAATGAATGTTTGTGTTCTATGTAAAAAAGCGTTGCTTTGATTTCCAAAACTTAAAAAAAAAAAATGCTTAAAGGTACACACCATCTTCTCCAAAAGGAGTTGAATTTTGTTGAGAAAGAGTTTGTTATGTCAAACTCAAGGCCCAGGGGCTGGATCCAGCCCGCAGGGTGCTTAGATCTGGCTTGCAGGACTGCCTTGGAAACAGCAAAGGACTGGCCTGCGGTGCCTCTGCCAGTGAAAACGGAGCACGCGAGGGCCACGGGTGGCCTTCCCGAGCTCCATTTTCACTGGCAAAGGGTTGCAGGAGGCCATCACGGCCAAAAATGGAGCTTGGGAGCCCATTTTTGCTAGCAGAGCACTTGGGCCACTACAGGCGCCCCCAACACAAGTGACGTCGAGCTGGTCACACCCACCTTGGCCATGCTCCCTGCCCCCCCCCCCAAGGTCAAACACAGCCCTGATGCGGACCTCAATGAAATCAAGTTTGACACCCCTGCCCCAGATGGAGGTCTTTGGTATTCTTCCTATTTACTTCATCTGACTATCTCACTGGCTTCTGAACATTAATGTACTTGGTGAATTTATGAAAATCCTGCTACTCTCATGGGGTAGAAGTGTTGCTTTGACAATCTGTTTCCCATCTTTCCCAAACTCTGTCTACACACAAGCAAATTGTAGTATCACAAACACATCAGTCTCATTCCTGGATGGACGGATGGATGGAGGAAGGATGGATGGATGGATGGATACCTTCCATGAATACCTGGATAAATGGATAGCTTCCTTTAGTATCCATCTCTAGTACCATCATGTTCTGTCCTCAACACAGGTGTATAAATGTTGTGGTTCACCGGCAGCAGGTTGCGGACGGCTGAGGTCTTGGAGAGCAAGGCCTCAGATGAGGGGTGCAATGCAGGGATGAGGCCAGGACCGTCAGGGAGTGGAATGCTGCCTTCGGAGATTGTGGAGGCTGGCAGCATTGATGAAGAGGTCCCCGAGAAGCCTGTGCCCAGTGCATGTGCGTGCAGGGCTGCTCGAAGGAAAGAGCAGCTGCAGCAGCATGGGTGACTCGGGAGTAAGGTGCAGGGTAATGGCCCCTCCCTTAAGAGATAACAGCCAGCTGAGAAACCGGAGTTCTTTGCAGGAAGCAAAGAAGTTTTGGCACTCAAGCCTTGTGGACGTTCGGAATATCTTGGTTGGTGTTTGGAGATTCTTTGTGTTTGAAATATTTCTTAGTAACTTTATCTTGTGTTCCTGGCAGCCTTGCACAACCTTGGCAAGGCTCGTTCTTATCAGAGACAATTAGTTTGAAACAGCCTTTTAACCATGAAGGAACAGAATTCGTAAAGAATCATTAAAAGGTTTTGCTGTTACCTCTGTTTTGTGTTTGTTTCCTTGGAACAAGGTTTGGGTCAGAACAATAAATCCAGAAACATCTTAAATGCAGTGAAAAAGACTACCATATTTTCTGATGAAAAGGTGATATACCACCATTAGTTTGTTTATTAGATTTTTATCTTGTTTTTATTACTTTATCAGTAACTCAAGGTGGCAAACATAATGCCTCTTTCTTCCTCCTATTTGCCCCAAAACAACAGCTCTGTGAGGTGGGTTGGGCTGAGAGAGACTGGCCCATGGTCACCCAGCTGACTTTCATGGCTACAGTGGGACTAGAACTCACTGTCTCCCAGTTTCCAAATGGGTGTCTTCACCTTTAGACTTAACTGGTTCTCTTGTTTCCTTTCTTTCTTTGGTTGTTTTTCACATTTTATTTTCTCTGTTACAAAACACTTTTTCTTTCTTTCAATCCTTAGATCTGTTCAGGTAACCTTAACAGTTTTCTGGAAGCCAAAGCGACTTTCTCATATTGATGCTCAGTAAATATTTCTCTTTTTTATGAAGTTTCTTCGAATCTTCTCTGTTCTAAAGTTTCCAGAGAGTCAAAACAATCTCCAGGCGGTTGCTGTTAGCAACAGCACATTGCACTGTAAGCCCAAGTGTGTCGAGCACATCCATGTGTTACCTCATAGGCCTTCTAAGTAGCTTCCCACATATAGTGAACAGCATCTGCAATAAAACATGGCTTTCGTATTTACTGAAATGAATCCGGAGCACTGCTAAAACCAAATACAGCCTTAATCTGCTGCCTTTCAGAAGTTTTGAATTTGCCATAAATACTAGTATCTATCAGGATCTTTGTTTTGAAATGTGGATAAGCATAGGTTCTTCATCTCTAAACTCATACACAGACACAGATTAACAGAGTTGGAAAGGACCTTGTAGGTCATCTATTCCAACCCCCCGCCCAAGCGGGAGACCCTACACCATTTCTGACAGATGGCAGTCCATTCTATTTATTTTATTTATTTATTTGATTTGTCAATTGTTTACAAGATAATAAGTACAAGTGTATACATAGTTGTGAATATATGAAATGGGTACATATAAGAAAAATAATAGAATAAGAGAAACAATAGGACAGGGACGGTAGGCACGTTGGTGCGCTTATGCACGCCCCCTACAGACCTCTTAGGAAAGGGGTGAGGTCAATAGTAGACAGTCTAAGGTTAAAGTTTTTGGGGTTTGGGGAAGAGACTACAGAGTCGGGTAGAGTATTCCAGACATTGACCACTCTATTGCTGAAGTCGTATTTCCTGCAATCAAGTTTGGTGCGGTTTACTTTGAGTTTGTATATGTTGTGTGCTCTTGTGTTGTTATGGTTAAAGCTGAAGTATTCATTGACAGGTAGGACATTGCAATGTATGATTTTATATACCATGCTTAAGTCGGACCGAAGACGGCGTAATTCAAGGTTTTCTAGTTTTAGAATTTCGAGTCTGGTGGCATAAGGTATTCTACAACGAGTAGAAGAGTGGAGAACTCTTCTTGTGAAATACTTCTGGACTTTCTCAATTGTGCTAATATCACATACGTAATAAGGATTCCAGACTGATGAACTGTATTCGAGTATTGGTCTAGCAAATGTTTTGTATGCTCTGGTTAGTAGTGAGATATTACCAGAGAAAAAGCAACGTAGGATTAGGTTAACAACTCTTAATGCCTTTTTGGCTATGTAGTTGCAGTGGGCTCTAGCACTTAGATCATTAGAGGTGAGTATTCCCAGGTCCTTTACAGAGCTTGGGTCATCAACAAGATCTTGACTATTCAGCTTGTATTTTATTTTCTGATTTTTTTTACCAATATGTAAGACAGAGCATTTATTTGTTGAGATTTGAAGTTGCCATATGTTAGACCATTCAGATACATAGTCTAGGTCTTTTTGTAGGGTAGTAGTATTGTCTGTGGTATTGAACAGCTTTACATCATCAGCGAAGAGAACGCAATTGCTCTTGATATGATCACAAAGGTCGTTTATGTAGATTATGAAGAGAGTTGGTCCTAGAACACTGCCTTGGGGAACACCACTATTGACAGGTACTGGATTTGATAGGGCGTTCC